AAGACAGTGGAGAGGGGTTATTCATCATTGGAAAAGGTTGGGGATGTAGTGGCGGAGGAGGGGGGTCATAACGGCCTTTCCTCAATATAGCTCGAACTGATGATGACTAAGAGTCTTTAAGTCTTTTAAGATCACGTTATTTTCACTACGGCTCCGTTTTGGCTTCGGTCTTTACCAGGCCCTAAAACGGCCAAAAAATTAAAATTGCTCGCCCAAACGGTCCAGAAAACCCCGGAACATTTTCGCTGAAGTGCTAAGTCCATTACATAGTACTGATCGATAGAAGCATGACATTAGCTAACTTTTATCTCCGCTGCCGATCGAGTCAGAGTACTCTAGCACTTTCGCTGCTCAACCTCATCGTAAACCAAAACTTGCAAAGGTCGTGAAAATATGCAGGCTCACGGTTAAGGTCACACATTCCATGCCGTTCTGCAATAATTTTAAGGCCTGTGGATAATATCTGAGAAATTACTGGATACCATCGGCTCCGTTTTGATGAGCTCATTCGAAACCGCTCCTGTATCGTTCTCCCTACGACTATAAACCACCCAGAAGAACTTTAAGGCAGTTTTAGTATATCTCAAGGAGTCCCGAAATGAACCCCCGCCCTCCATTAGCCCTTGTTCCCTTCAAAAAAGATAGCCTGGCTTTCCGCCCGATTCGTGTCTCAATCTGACGAGATTTTCTGCCTTGATGAAACCGAAGCCGACGAAACGTGCTAATTAAACCCTTAGCCCTGACCTAGCCCTTTATTTGACGTTTATCAAGCGTCAGACATCGCATGTATAAGAAACGTTTTCTGCAATCGTACAACGGATGAATAATAGAAGGCCCAGATTGCTTGCGTTGTTTATAGAAGACGACCACTTGACCAAACGTTTCTTATAAACATTCGTATCTGATGCATCGTGGCACTAAATGCCAAAAGCAAAAAAAGCGTTCGGGAATGCCATCTGGCCGATAGATCTCCCCAGCGCCCACTCAAACATTGCTTGAACTGTTCGCTGCAAATTTCGCAACCGATTTCCTCTTAGTAGTGATGAGTCACCCAGACGACACCACTGAAGTTTCAGACATGTTGCCGAGCTGGGAGAATGAATTTGAAATTCACAAGGTTGCCTAAGAAATTCACGCCTGACGTGGGAAAAAAATCGGAACTCGGAAGAAAACGGAAGTGGAACACAGCTGACTTGACTCACCTACTTTGAACAAGGAAGGCTGTTCAGCCCCAAAAACAGCGCAGGTCAAAAATTTGTGGTGCTAACTATTAGACATTAATATTCAGTGAATATTTGGAGCGACATTTAATATGTTGCTACGATTTTTCGCTATGATTATTGAACTGATACTAGCGATAATGGAAGGCGATTACAAGCAAGTAGAAAACTTGTCAAAGTCGAGTACATGGCTCAATTTCGAAAGGACTGATCAGCCTCGAGGTTTTCTATTTGTCTTGTCGTGTACGTGAGGAAAAATTCCCTAAATCACTTGATGCTTGGCTCCTTGGTCAAATAGCCCACCTCTTGATGGAACGTTCCAATAAGTCCCAAACTTAGGCAAGCCACACAGCTCAGCTCACCCCGCCCCTCCACAAACTCCGCCCATATTTGCCTCGAATAAAGGAGAACTGATTGATAGACAAACAGAAGATGGTGCTACTTGGAAATCTGGAGGTAAGTCACAACCGCACCCCAGATCGGGGCAGGGATACATGACCGATCGCAACTGGCGCGATCGCAATTAGCTCTTTGACATTGAATAATCGTCATATCGCACGCTTCGCAGAGGTTGCCGGCGTTTTTCGATAACACTGCCCAATTTAATGGGGTGTATTGACCCATTGAATGAAATGCTCTCCTTTCAAAGGATTCTTGATCTCTCCTTAGCAGACCCTTTTTTATTGCACAAAGAGCAAGCAACTGAAGGAATAAGAAACCTCAATTCAACCCTTTCCATGGTTTCAATCAAACTGCAGATTTTTTTCTCAATTGG